AGCAAAAAAAAACAAATAATCCAATTTAAAAATGGGCAGGGGACCTGAATAACCATTTTTCCAAGGAAAACATGCAGATGACCAACAGACACATGAAAAGATACTCAACATCATTCATCATCAGAGAAATGCAAATCAAAACCACAATAAGATACATCACTTTACCCTGGTTAGAATGGCTAGTATCAAAAAGACAAAAACAAGTACTGGTAAGGATATGGAGGAAAGGTAACTCATGCACTGCTGGTAGGATTATAAATTGGTGCAACCACAGTGGGAAATAGTAGAGAGGTTCCCTAAAAAATAAAACAGAAATATCCTATAACCCAGTAATTCTACTTCTGGGTATTTATCTGAAGAAAATGAAAACACTTTAAAAAGATACATGTGCACGCCTATATTTACTGCAGTATTGGAATTGGCCCTTGAACAAAGTGACCCCTGAACGGTCAAAAACCCACGTGTTGGGCAGCCTGGGTGGCTCAATGGTTTAGCACCACCTTTGGCCCAGGGTGTGACCCTGGAGACCTGGGATCGAGTCCCACATCAGGCTCCCTGCATGGAGCCTGCTTCTCCTTCTGTGTCTCTGCCTCTCTCTGTGTCTCTCATGAATAAATAAATAAAAATCTCAAAAATAAAAAAAAACACGTTATTTTTGACAGTCCTAAAGTTTAATTAGTAATAGCCTGCTGTTAAGCAGAAGCCTTACTGATAACATAAACAGCCAAGCACATATTATATCTTATCTGTATTCAAAGGTCAACTATATTTACAACAGGCAAGATATGGAAGCAACCTAAGTGTCTCATCAATAGATGAATGGATAATCTCATCGAAGGGTGTTTGCTGGTTTCTGCTGTGAAAGAATTGCATTTAATACCAGCTAAGATACATCCTGACCTCAGCTTCTGGAGCTACTAATCAGAGGATGTGATTTCAAAAATTAACTCAAGAAGGGTTTTCAGGGATCCCTGGGTGGCTCAGTGGTTTAGCACCTGCCTTCAGCCCAGGGCCTGATCCTGGAGACCCGGGATCGAGTCCCACCATCAGGCTCCCTGCAGGAGCCTGCTTCTCCCTCTGCCTGTGTCTCTGCCTCTCTCTCTCTCAGTCTGTATCTCTCATGAATAAATAAATAAAATATTTTTAAAAAAGAAGGGTTTTCAAGTAGATTCTGCATATACTTCTATTTGTTCTATGCTGCAAATAGTGATATTGTTACTTGGCAATGTTTGGATGGCTCTGTTCTCAGGTCATACATCTTTTTCTCTTGCAATGACAATGACCGTTACTGACATTGTGCTTCTCTTCCTCACCAGATTGATGTATGAAGCAAACCAGACATCAACTTCCATACAAGAAAAATTTTCAAAGGATCCTTCTGAGGCTTTAGAAACAGAGGAACCGGCAGCCACCACCCAACTGTGATGCCATCTTAAACCTGGAAATCCTTCTGGATGTGGACATTTTAAAGACTCTTGGACAGTTTTAAATAGGAATAAACTCTGGCTTTAAAAAAAAAAAAGGTGAATAGATGAAGAAGATTGGTATGTATACACCATGGAATATTACTCTGCCATAAAAAAGAATGAGCTTTTGCCATCTGTGAAAACATGGATGAACCTTGAGGGTATTACACTATGTGAAATAAGTTGGACAGAGAAAGATAATGTCATATGATTTCACCTATATGTAGAAATCTAAAAAACAAAACAAGTAAATTTAAAAAAGAAACAGACTCACACATACAGAGAACAAACTGGAAGTTGCCAGAGGGGAGGTGTGTAGGAGAATGGGTGAAATGGATGAAGGGGATTGATAAGTAAACTTCTAGTTGTAAAATAAATTAAGTCACGGGGTTGGGGGAGCACCTGGGTGGCTCAGTCAGTTGAGCATCTGACTCTAGATTTCAGCTCAGGTTGTGATCTCAGGGTCTTGGGACTGAGCCCCATGTCTGGCTCCGCGCTGGGTGGCATGGAGCCTACGTGAGATTCTCTCCCTCTGACACTCCCCACACCCAAAAAAATTAAAATAAAATAAGTAAGTCACAGAACTGAAAAGCACAGTATGGGGAATATCATCGATAATATAGTATAATTTTGTGCAGAGACAGTGGGTAACTACATTTATCATGGTGAGCCTGAGTAACGTGTGTAACTGTCAGATCACTAGGTCATACACCTCAAACTAATATTACATGTCAAGTAAACTTCAAGTTTAAAAATCTGCCTGGCACCTGGGTGGCACAGTCGGTTGATGCTCAGGTTGGTTTCAGCTCAGGTCATGATCTCACGGGTCATGAAATGGAGGCCCACATGGGGCTCCACACTCAGTGTGGAGTCTGCTTGAGTTTCTCTCTCTCAAAAATAAATGAATCTTTTAAAAAAATAAAATAAAAATAAAACTTCTTGCCCTTAAAAAATAAAAGCTTACACTTCATTAAAGAATGCAGCTCCCACCTCCATCACCTAATTTCCTTCTCTGCTTTATCATTCTTCCAAAGCACTAGTCATGTTTTAAGAGATCACATATTTTACCCATTTGTTTGTTTCTCTCTTCTACTAAACAAAAGGTCTAAGAATGCCACGGTGTCTTTCTTCTGCGTTCATGGCTCTATCTCTACCACTTAGAACTGTGTGCCTGGCACAAGGCAGGTGCTCAATAAATACTAACTGAATGAATGAGTGAATGAATGAGTCAACTGGAAGGGGTTGAGAGGCCCTTGAACTCACTGAAATTATCGTAAAAGGCAATGTGCTTATGCCCGCAGAAGGTCCACAGCTTTCATCAGATTCTCAAAAGGAGCCAGGGTTGAAAAGAGCTTCAGAACCACTAGCCTGGCAAGCTCTGAGGTTCAATGCAGTTTTCAGAATATCTCCAAATCCTTAGGATGCACAGATGTATTTCTGCCCTCATGTGATCACTCGCTTCCCATGTGAAAGGAAACAAAACTAAAGTTACCATTGCTTACTTCTGCAGTTTTAGAAGTTGTGGCTCAAAAACCAGGGAGAGGGCAGCCTGGGTGGCTCAGCAGTTTAGCGCCGCCTTCGACCCAGGGCGTGATCCTGGGGGACCCAGGATTGAGTACCGCATGGGGCTCCCTGCATGTAGCCTGCTTCTCCCTCTGCTTGTGCCTCTGCCTCTCTCTGTGTCTCTCATGAATAAATAAATAAAATATTTTAAAAAAAACAAAAACAGGGAGAAATTTACCCCAAACAAGTAGACTATCCATCTTGGCCTCCAGCCCTACCCACTACACTTCACTTTCAGGTTCACAGGCGTTCTCCAGAAGGAAAAAACAAGGTGGGGGGAGGGTTCTTGTTCCTCCCATCCTCAAAGTTGAAACATGTAGTAAGGTTTTATCTATTTTTTTTAGGGTTTTTTTTTTTTTTTTAGGTTTTATCTATTAATGGTCTGCCTCATTCTGACAAGGTATTGGAAAAGTTTTATTCCCATTAATCAATTCTGTTAACTACGATTAATAGTGTGAACATTCCTTAGCATCAAAGTGATAATATCAGGGGCTTTTTAATCCCATATCCTTAAAAAAAAAAAAAAAAAAGACACACCAAGGTAAAGGATGATCCACCACCACCACCCACCACCACCACCACCACCACCACTACCACCACCACCACCACCACCTCCTATTGCCTTCCCCCCTGCAGATCAAACCATCAAGGATGCCTGCACTCTTTTATCCTATCGCCCACTTCCAACATCAAGTTCCCTCTCTCCTCACTCTCCAGAAAGCCTGACAGGATAGGGCCTGGTAAAAAAGAGAAGCCAAAGGAGATAGACGGTAGAGAATAGAAAGAAATTAGGAAAGGAGAAAGGACAGAAGAAAAAATTGAATTGGGAGCCACCTACCCCCTGCCAAATGTAATCACATCGATCTAATAAACTGCATGCCATGGGATCCCTGGGTGGCTCAGCAGTTTAGCACCTGCCTTCAGCCCAGGGTGTGATCCTGGAGACACGGGATCGAGTCCCACGTTAGGCTCCCTGCATGGAGCCTGCTTCTCCCTCTACCTGTGTCCCTGCCTCTCTCTGTATCTCTCATGAATAAACAAACAAAATAATTAATTAATTAATTAAAAATAAAAAAAATAAACTGCATGCCAAATATTAATAAGTTGCATCCTAGGTAAAACTCACCAATGTAAAGGTCAATGACCTATTGCCAATTTTTAAAGGTCTGGCAGGGTTATCTGAAGATTTCTTGTACAGCTTTAGCAACTTTATCCAAGGATGGGGGGGAAAAAAAACGCCAAGCACCCTGGGCAATGTCTTAACCTTATTGCTTAAAGCCTTAATTCATATTCCAAACACGTATCAGGTTCCTCCTACTTTATGGTAAGTGTCATGCACTTTCTCCCCTCCTTGACCTTGTCTATGCCATCATCCACCTTAAAAACACTGCCAAAATACGTTTTATCTTTCTAAGCCCAGCTCAAATATCATATCACCTCCTCTGGGAAGCCATCTCCAGCCCTGCCAGTTAGAATCAATTGCTTCCTCTCCTATATTTCTAAAACGCTCTATTCCTACCTCTAGCTGCCATCAGATCAAAGCTGGTTATTCATAAGTGTACTTTGTTGCTAAATTATGAACCCAAGGGCACCGTATTCACTTTTTCTCCCCAGATCCTAGCCCTATGCCTTATAATATAAAGGGGGCTCGGGCACCTGGGTGGTTCAGTGGATTGGGCATCTGCCTTGGGCTCAGGTCATGATCTCAGGGTCCTGGGATCAAGCCCCATGTAAGGCTCCCTGCTCAGTGGGGAGCCTGCTTCTCCCCCTGCTTGTGTTCTCTCTCTCATATTCTCTGTTAAATAAATAAATCCAAATAAATAAATAAATAAATAAATCTTTTTAAAATTTCAATTTAATTAAAAAAAATAATAAAGGGGGCTCAATTAACTAACTTGAGTGTCATAATTCACCGCAAAATTAGGTAATAATAGAGTAAACACAGAGCCCCCCAAGAAAACCAAACGCTACCTCTTTGGAGTTTGGAACACCACTGTGATTTTTTTCCATTATCAGCCATCGGAGAACATTTGGGATGGAGAGATCCTTCCAAGTTGGCCATGGGTTAACAAATCTGCCATCCTTTCCTCTCTTTGATTTGGTCACATCTTCCTCTAGTCTGTAATCTAGTTTGAAACTTTTCCTGGAAAGCCTAGAAGAATCACTTCCCACAGAACTCCGTGCTGAATTTTGGCGTTTCCTTACTGCTTCTTTAGGATATTGGCTGCTTGTCATCAGAGATTGGTTGCTTTCATTTTCATCCATGTCCTTTTCAGAACTAAAAAAAAAAAAAAAAAAAAAAAAAAAAACAAAAAAACAGAAGGAGGGTAAAAATACGGACTTCAACATAAAGGCAAGAAAACTTATGACACAGCATCCAGAGTATTATTTCTTAGCCAATAAAAATTTCCTCAAACTTATAAAAACAGTGTTATCTCTATCAGCTTGAACTTCCTTCCGGCAAAATACAATTTTGTAATCCAGGATTACTGCTTGCTAAATAGAAAAGATGTTTGCTTTACCTACTCCTGCCAAACCTTTTAAATGTTCCTTATCTGCTGTAACCCAAAGCAATGTCCATGCACCAGGCAGCATTTTAAACATATGAAATTTTCCATCTCCATGATCTTACACAATTACAGCACCTTCCTGAATTTGTAATATTTTCATTCCTGAATTTTAAAAGTATTATTGTTAAAAACACAGTGAGAAGGGCTGCCTGAGTTCCTGGAGGATAAGCCAGTACTTCCAGTGATTTACACAGAGCTCCACTAGGTCTAGCCATTTTTACTTTGAAGATAATCTGTTACCAATTCCCCTAAAAAACACACTGAGTTCAGATCCCAGGAAAGGAGATGATAATGTTAATGGAGAGACATTTCAATAATGTATTTAAGTGGCTAACAATGCAAATTTGAATTAACTCAGGTTCAGAACTGCTGGGACAGTACAGTATGCATCCCAGCTACTTACCTTGGGTAAGTTTCCTAACCTCTCTGGGCCTCAATATCCTCATCCATAAAACAGAGATAACAAAACCACCTAATCTCTGAGGTCTACTGGGAGGTTTTAAAAAGCTAATGCAAATAAAGCAATTAGAAACAAGCATATGATATTTTATATATATATATGTAACCACACACACAAATGGTAAGAACTCAACAAATGTTAGCTGTTGCTGTTGACATTATTCACACCACCACCACCACTTAACTCACTCAAAGAACCAAAATCCTTGATTTATTTATTCAAGAGAGAAAGAGAGAGGCAGAGACATAGGCAGAGGAAGAAGCAGGCTCCCTGCGAGGAACCCCAGGACCCCGGGATCACAACCTGAACCAAAAGCAGACACTCAACCACTGAGCTACCCACGTGTCCCAAAATCTTTGATTTTTAACTATGTAGGTACTCCAGATATATAAAAGTGATAATATATTAAGAACATGCATTTATCCAGGGGCAGGAGGGTGGCTCAGCCAGTTAAACATTAGGCTTTTGATTTCAGCTCAGATCATGATCTCAGGGTCATGAGATTGAGCCCTGCCTCTCAGGCTCCATGCTCAGCAGGGGTCTGCTTGAGATTCTCTCTCTTGAGCCTTCACCCCCAGCCCATGTATGTGCGTGCACATCATTCTTTCTCAAATAAATCTTTTAAAAAGAAAAAAAAATAATATGCATTTATCAGGGCATCTGGATGGCTCAGTTAAGCAACTGACTCTTGATTTTGATTCAGGTCAAGATCTCAGGGTCAAGAGATCCAGCCCCAAGTGGGGCTCCCTGCTCAGCAGGGAGTCTGCTTGAGGATTTTTTTCTCTCTTTCTATCCCTCTGCCCTACCCCTCGCTCACACATGTGCTCTCTCTTAGATAAATAAATCTTAAAAGAATATGCCTTTATCTGCCATAAATTTAATTTCTTTCCTTTTTTTAAAAAAAAGATTGTATTTATTTATTCATGAGAGACACAGAGAGAGACAGAGAGAGAGAGACAAAGAGGCGCAGAGACACAGGCAGAGGGAGAAGCAGGCTTCATGCAGGGAGCCTGATGTGGGACTCGATCCCGGGACTCCAGGATCACACCCTGGGCCGAAGGCAGGCGCTAAACCGCTGAGCCACCCAGGGATCCCCTTCATTTCTTTCCTAATCTACTACACAAACATTTGCTTTCTGTAGAGTTTAAATACAATGCATACACATAATACACTTCATAACCCTAACAAAATAAACACAACAGAAAGCCAAATAGTTTTATGGCTGCAATGATGTTTACCATAGAAATACTGTCCAGAAGGGAAAAGGAAAGAATACAAATACTAGGATGAACATATACACTGAAGTAAAACTATTTTTCCAAACTGTCTACGGTAAAATAGTATATGGTCTGGAGAATAATCGGTGTTGAGAAAAGAAACCACAGCTGACAAAAGCTAAAGCACACACTGTTGCTCAGCCATTGGTGTTTGCTGGAGAGCCTAATAGCTACGAGAGCCTAACAAGCTTTATATCTTAGGCAAATAACAACCATCCTAAGACCTCAATTTTCTCCTTTGTAAAATACCTACTTATCTCATGTGGGTCCAAAGGATTAAATGACACAGCATACATAAAGGGCTTCCCATTCACCAAATGCTAATTCTTTTTTCCCTCATCCTGCTAACTGGCCATATATCTTAATTCTTTAAATTCCATCAGAAAGCAAAGAATCTGGGTAAATTATCTCAGTTCTTCTTCAAGAATTGCCCTACTTGGGATATAATTAAGTTCAGGCCCAGGGGTACCTGGAGTGGCTCTGTGGCTCTGGTCATGATCCTGGGGTCCCAGGATGAAGTCCCACATAGGGCTCCCTGCATGGCGCCTGCTTCTCCCTCTGCCTGTGTCTCTGCCTTTCTCTGTTTCTCATAAATAAACAAAAATCTTAAAAAAAAAAAAAAAAAGTTCAGGTCCAGGACTTTACAAAGGGCAGGAACAAGCACCAATCATTTAAATGCTACTCCATTTAACAGATGTACACAAACCAAATTTAGAGACTTTATTTCCTGACAATGTAACATGTCTAATAGATGGTAGAGCTGACCTGATGCTACCTACCCCTTGTGATAATAAACAGCTTGTGAGATATGTACATGGGCCTATTTCTACAGACACATATACACACTATTTATACATACACATATAAACACACATATAATATTCCTACTAATATGTAATAAAGTTTTGGCTCATTGTTTTAAACAATTAGAAAAAGGAAGGAGAAATGGGCCCTCTGACTCAAAAACCACAAAAGCAAAGTCACAACAGGGTTTTGAGACAACATCTAGCCTTCCAAAGTGGCTGGGACCTAAGTAGTAAGGAAGGTTTGTAAGAGCCAACAGCGAGGGCATGAAGGGTGGGATTCGATTTGGGGCCTGGCCTGAGACTTTAAGGAGGTCCACTACACTGTAAGCAAGGAAGGAAAATGAAGGGGCTTAGAAGGAGACAACTGATAGGATAAAAACGAAAGGATGTGGCCAAAACACTGGAGCCTGGGAGATCAATTTGTGAGCAGCAAACAGGCAGCCCAGGACACCCAGTAACAGCAAAGCACTCTGCTCTGTGTTTCACACATTCCATTTAAATAACCGCTCCTGGGACACCTGGGTGGCTCAGTTAAGCATCTGCCTTCCGCTCAAGTCAGCCTTCCACTCAAGTCACGACCCCAGGGTCCTATACTGAGCCCCACGCCAGGCTCTCTGCTCAGTGGGAAGTCTGCTTCTCCCTCTCCCTCTGTGTGCTCAGCTTGTGCACATTTCTAATTGAAACACGAAGTAGTAGTAACAGCCCAGTGAAAAGACAGGAGGCAGGGACAGAAAAGAAAGCACAGAATAAATCCAAGAAACAAAGGGTAAATCACTAAAGCCCAAGTCTCTGGATGGTCACAGACTTTGGACAGTTTGTATGGCAGGTTGGGAGGCAGGAGTCAGAAATGACCAATAACCAAAAAAGCACCAATAACTAAGCCAAGGAATTAGGGCAAAGCAAGGGTTTAGAGCATGGAAAAGAAGTGGATTTCTGACCCAGTGACCTGGAGACAGTGTGTGAGACAAAAAGGAGGCATCCAAGAGGAAGTGCTCATTGACACCCAAGGAAAAGATGACCCTGGGACCCAGGATGCTTGGGAGGTGACACAAATGAAGGTAAGAGAACAGAGAGGTTTCCAGGGACCTGGGAGTAGAATGAGAGTGAAAAATGGGTTCTGCTTCATCCTTGAACAATAAACTGTCTCTGCATGCTGCCCCCATCTTCTTTCCTCCCATCCACTCAGGCTCTCACCCCAATCAACCCATGGGAACAGTTCTCCAGCAAACAGCAAGCAGTCCTCTCTTAACATAGCCTTCACCCCAATACACACAAAATCCAGTCTTCAGGAATGATCTTTTTATTATATTTTTTAAAATATTTTATTTATTTATGAGAGACACACACACGCACACAGAGAGAGAGAGAGAGAGAGAGAGAGAGAGAGAGGCAGAGACACAGGCAGAGGGAGAAGCAGGCTCCATGCAGGAAGCCCCATGCAGGACTCAATCCCTGGTGCCCAGGATCAGGCCCTGGGCCGAAGGCAAGGCTAAACCGCTGTGCCACCCAGGGATCCCCCAGGAATGATCTTTTTTTTTTTTTTTAATTTTTATTTATTTATTTATTTATTTATTTATGATAGTCACAGAGAGAGAGAGAGAGGCAGAGACACAGGCAGAGGGAGAAGCAGGCTCCATGCACCGGGAGCCCGACGTGGGATTCGATCCCGGGTCTCAGGATCGCGCCCTGGGCCAAAGGCAGGCGCCAAACCGCTGCGCCACCCAGGGATCCCAGGAATGATCTTTTTAAAGGCAAATCTGATCAATGAAAAGAAAAAGCCTGCAGAAGACTCCCTTGGTTCTCAGAACAAGGGCAAAGGTCAGTAAGAAGATGCTCCAAGAGGGTGTTTCTTGCCCTGCCCACACCCTGCTCTGCTCCAAATACATGGCCTTAGTCTATTTCCTGAAATGCACCATGCTCCCAACTCAAGGCCACTCACTGCCATCACAGGGCCTTTGCACAGGATTCTTAAAATATCCTTCAGTACCTGAACATATATTCACACGATTTTATGCTACCATTAAAGTGTTCAAGCAATATGAAATATTGGCACTATGCTGCACCACTGCACACTATGCACACTAGGAAATGATCAGGAAAAAACGGAAGGACATGAACCTTAACCATCTGGACTTCTTCTCTTATAGGAAAAGTACTGCCAGTCC